ATTCCTGAAGTTGAGAACTGACTGAGACCAGATGCTAAAAGTTAATAGTCTGAAGGATGGATCTCAGAGTAAGGTCCTAATGGAAATCAGTGGTCAAAATGGGTAGACAAGGAGATAATATAACCTTCTGAGAGATTAAAATAGATCAATGTGGGAAGACGTTCTCAGAGTAAAGTGTTTGAAAGAAGATTTATACAGTGATTGTAGAACACCTGCAAAAGGGATTCCTAGAGGATAGGGTAGCTGATTGTCCTATTTGGTGTGTGAAAAAAGTAAGATTATGAAAAGAACACAAATCTCAAGTTGAGCATAACCTCAGAAATCTGCATTCAATTGATAAATATTAAGACAAACAGAATATGTAAGCTGATTGTTCACACATTTGATGAAAAGGATCTATAACTGAAATGTAGGTTTAAGATAAATGTGCAAGTTTTCAGAAAAAAATGGAGAGCATTCTGGGTCATTCACATATTTCAGAAAGTAGTTTTACTATTTCTATAGTCCATGTATCCTAGCTGTTCTTAAATTAAATAACTACATTATTTAACCTGAAAAATAAATCATTTCATGCTTTGTGTATCACATGCACTATTAGAGATTCCCAAAAAGCATATCTTCTGTGGAATGATTTTTAAATTATGGCTTTTCCAAATAAAAACATGGTGGCTAGCTCTGTTATACAATGTCTTATTGCGAGCCATTCACTAATCTCTACATCCTCATTTAACCAACTATCCTGTTTGTGTTTTCTCTCAGAAGACATTTCTAGCCATTCTATGTTCTTATCCCCAATCTTCACCTAGAACAGGATCAGTTCCTCTTTGCATATAAAATCAACTGTTTTAAATAAATTAGTTAATGTTTTTCAAACTACAAGTTTGGTTTGTTTAAATTTGGTTTACTGAATAAGCCACAAGAAAAGTTGGAGAGGTTTTTCTCTTTTTGGAAAGCTTAAAGATCTATGAAGTTTCTCGTCAACTAGAGAGGGATTTATGCTTAATCTATTACATCAATCCTTTTTAATAAGAATTTACTCATTTTTAGGAAAAAGCTCTATTCAAATTATCTCCATTAGAAAGTGCTGCAAAGTACAAGTGTCAAGCTAGGTCATTTTCACCAAGGCAGTCATTTTGTGAAGTGTTCATAGCACGTTCTCAAAACTCTCCCACCAACAGAGAAAGGTTGGGTGTCATAACTCTGTGCTTTCTATTGGCCCAGACATTGTAACTGGTAAATCATTGTCCATGAGTTGTTGTGTTTCAATATAGCATATTCAGTGAACTATGGTTAAACAACTAATGACTGTGATATAGAAAACCACAGGATGGTTTGTCTGTCTTTAATAACAATTCACAATTTGGAGGTGGCAGATCAATGACCTGAAATGTTGAAGAAGAGAAAGAGTACATTCTGTACAGGAATTCTCTGTACTTAACATTCCTTCATAATGCTTATTGAATAATATGACCCAAATGCTGCATGACTGTTCTCTAGAGATTACTAGATCAGCTTTTCTTGATAAATTTCAACTCTTATCTTTTTCTCCATCAATACAATTATTCATCATTGTATAATAAGATATGCTGGCAAGGATTTTCTTCCCTAAATGCTTTGGCTTACCTCATCCTTTCAAGGAAACGTAACTTCAGCTCAGATGTTTCCTATGCAGTATAAGATCTGTATGTCCACTTACTGGACTACTGTGGTTTACATTTCAAAATTTCTTGTCCTAAATTGTATACCAGCATCAGCATATGATGTTTATAACAAATATTAGACAGTTTTCATAATTTAATGATTACAACTTGGGGAGAGGAAGGACTGCAACTCTCAGAATTTGTCAACCTACATGGTCAGCAGATGTGGAAGACAGCAGGCTTAAAATAACATAATTTGAAAAATCACGCTAATAATTGGCCAGCAACAAAGAATCTATTCAAACTCTAGACCACTGGGGGAAAAATCCATTGATCTCAGTGCATGACTTAAAATAAAGTGCATCTATAAATTGTAATATGCAAGATATTGCAATCTATTAGTAAAACATAGAATAAAGTATACATTTCATAAAGCCTCTTACCTTGTATTTTGGAAAACAGCCAGACCCAGCTAAGAAATAGCTGTTATACTATAACATTCCAATAACTGCTTCAAGGAAGAGAGTATGGGTTTATTTATCTTAGCATCCAAATACAGGTTAAGAAACAAGTGTAAGCTTTCACTCAAATGAATAGGAGATGTTCAAAAAAGAGGATTTTCTGATTATTAAGCAGTGAAACAGTCTGCCTTATGAAACTGTGGACATTCTTTTACTGGAGGTTTTCAAGAAAAGGGTGGACAGCCTTTTGACTAGTAGGCAGATTGCCACCTTGGACGGGAATTTCATCCCAAAGACTTTTAAGTTCCTTTCCATTCTATAATTTTATTTTCAAAAATTAATCTTTAATTTTAAAAAAGACATCTCACTATCCATCACCATCTGTATTTCTGAGTTTTAAAGAAAAACCTCCAGTCAATTGTGTAGGCTAGGATGGGGGGGGGGAATCATCCAAGAGAAAAGCAGTGACCAGTTATTTCTATAGTAAATAATGTAATGAAGTTGCCAAGAATCATCTTGAATAGAAGAAAATTGGTTTCTAGAGTGTCCCTGCTCTTGTAAACATGGAAAGAATGGAATGGGATGGGATGGGAAAGGAAAGGATACCGGTGCTATTTGCTACATTGAGTATTAAATCAGTTAATACTGAACACAAATACATTAGATAGATTTATTTCAGGCAGCAAGTTTAGAGAAGGTATTTTCCACATCAAAAGGAAGATGAATTTGAGGGGACTCAGCGCCGTTTTGATCCGTGCTTGCCGCTGGAGCGCCCCGAACCGGCTGGTTTCAGGGCTAAACCACCCCGTAGAGGTGGTGAAGAAGGGGGAGACTGCCCGCAGGGTTGAGGAGAGCTGCATCTCTCCTCCCCAGCTGGCCATTACTCCCTTTCCCGAAGGCGGTTGCAGCGGTGGTCAGAAATGGCCACCACAAAGAAGAACTCGACCAGAAAAGAATGTGCAGGAGGAAGATAAGAAGAGAAAGTTTTGGTTGACCGGGTCAAACAGCAAAAGCAACAAATAAGGTACCCTGGAATTTAAACTATTAAAAAATAATAATAACACGGTTCCCAAAGAAGATTTCTAAGCAGCGAAGGAGAGAGAAAAGGGAAAAAGATTTGTGGTTTTTTTTCTCCTTTTCCTATACTGACAGCTAAGAGACTTAAGCAAAGAATTGGAAAAAAAATCCACTTTGACATTAATAGGCATCTAATGCTGAAAATAAAAAGCCAAAGGGATAATAAAGATTTCTGGATAATTAAAAGCTTTTGAAAACAGGAAAGGAGAGAAAAAGAATAAAAGGGCAGGATCTGGAAGGAAGGAGACTGCCTGGAATTAAGAAGAACTTATAGTAAAATCTCAACAAGACTTCCAAAAGATACATCTTAACTGAAACATCGCAACAAAATAGTAAAACCCCAGGAAGAGAAAGTGAAAAAAGAAATAAGAAGAAACAGCTTGGGACTATTTGGATTATTTGGTGATCTCTGGATTTTTGGTTACTGCATTTGAATGACTAAAATCAATCGGGTGGTTGTTTAAAAGTGTTTAAAATGGCTCCACTTTTAGAACTGAAAATGGAACTTAAAAAGTACAAAGAAGATACACAAGAAGGGAGAGGTTCTTTTGGCTTCGTATTTCAGTTCTTGGAAACGGAGATTTGGAACTATGAGAAACAACAAGAAATGCCTGCAGAACAAGAAGATTGGGACAATGCAGAAGCCATCTTTAATGAACAAGTAATCTTAGGTGGGGAAGAAAAAGGAAAGGGGGGAAAGAGAATGGAAAGTTTAAGACTGGGAAAAACAACCCAAAAAAAGAATAGAGTGAAAAATAAGTATAAAATCAGAAAGCAACAGAAGAGGGAAATGCAGAAGAGAGAATTATAAGTAGAGAGTCAAGGGGGTAAAAAGGGGAGGGAGAAGAAGAGAGGGAAGAAAGAAAGGAAAAGAAGTTATAAAGGACAGAAACAAAATATAGAGCAACAGGGCCTATTTAGAGATAATGGGTGAAAATCTAATTGAAAAAGGAATTCTGCAAAGGTACATAAGATAGTATTGTTATATTAGAAATAGAAATAATTTTAGAAAATATGAAACAATGTATGATTAAAATGTTTGATAAAATAGTTATCGTAACTTAGTGGAATGCTTGTCAATAAATAAATGTAACAAAATGAATATTTAATGATTTATAAAACATATGTGAAGAGAAATAAGGGAAAAATTAAGTATGGAGATCATATGTGTCTTTAAGGAAGTACGATATCTAGTTAAAAAGAAATGTTAAAGATGTTAAGACTTTAATGAATATTAATGATAAGAACTGAATTGGAATGGAATGAGGGTTTTAATTACATATATTTACAATCCTTTTTTTAAAGAATATAGTGTGTATTATAAGAATGTACCAAGCAGAATTCGATTGGAAGTTATGTATTATGTATTATATTGAATGTCATAACCTTAAGGGATATATCAAAGTTTAAATAAGAGTTGAATGGATAAAATTAAAAGATATAAAGGTGTCATACTCCAATTAGTAACTACAGGAGAAAATTTGTTTAATGAGAAAAGATCATATGAAATTGAAACAGAACAGACAAAAGTATAAATATAATGATTTGAATTGAGATGATATAATCAAAATAAAATTGAGAAAATTAAGAGGGGGAAAAACTATATAGAAAATGCAGAATAGTAATAAAATATGGAATAGAACACAAAAATGAGCATGAAACTGAGTTTGTGTCTGTATAAAGAAGTGCAACCCGGGACCAAGCTATTTTCAAAAAAGATGTTTTACTTGTATTTGTGTGTGTGAAAATCCAAATAAAACTTTAATTAAAAAAAAAGGAAGATGAATTTGTAGGGGAAAAAATCCAAGCTTTCATTAGTTACCTGAAATGCATCTTCAGTTCTTGGTAAAAACAGTTGTTCTCTGTTGTCCTTGCCAAGAATAATAGGTCCAACAGAACCTTTGTCTCCATATATCCAGAGAGTGACATTTGCTTTAGTTCCTGAATTTCCTGTCAGTATGAATACTTTCCATTTATCCTCTGAAGGAAAAGGGGACTCTTCATTTTGAATAGTCATCATTTCCTCTGAAAAGTATAAAATGTCAATAGATGAAGATGGATATGCATTTAGAAATCTCTTTCAAAAACAAAATAAAAAATAAAAGGAATTTTTTAAAAAGATAGGGTCACAGTACTCTGATTAACTGGCATAACTAAAAAACAAAATGTAAGCCACAAGTGTGAAGAACACTTTTAACATCAAGGCTACCAAATGTAGCACTGGTTCTAAATTCTTCCATGTGGCAACTGTCGTGTGTAATGAAGTTTCTTGGTGCAGCACCATCAATTCACCTTGCAGCAAGATGGGCAGCAAACCAATTTAATAAATAACTAAATTAAATTATTAACAATCAATTCCATATAGTTGAAAAAGGGCACTGTCCATAATCGTCCAACATGACTAAAAGAGTCATTAGAACTTCTAATGTGGAACCATCTCATTTCAGATACCAATTATCTGTCAACATTTTAGTTCCTGCTATTTGGCAATTATTCTGACAAATTATTGTTCACAGCTGGTTTGATCCTTTGTAGACGTTTTAGTTAAGTATTTATGGATAACTTTTATAAAAGATAGTTGTGCACTGCCTAGAAAATTCCCATTTTCAAAAGCAGCATAGGAAGGAAGGATTGATTTAAGCATTTTGAGAAATGTTTCATCTTGTACTTTTTGCTTTTGCACAAAAAATCAAACATGCTAAGATGTCAGTGAAAAATAGCTTTTAAAAATGTATTTTTCCATAGGTTACTCTTTCTTAACCTGATATCCTTCTCTGATGTATTCAGAATAAATCTTATCTGGCATATGTTGCAATCTCAACAGACCTGGAAGGTGACTGGATATAGAAAGGTTATTTTGCTTGACCACATGTGCTATAAATTATATGGCTTGATATAATTGCCACTTACTGAGAAAACCATTGTAAACATTGCAACTGGATACCTGAAAGTACCCTCCTCCCCCAAGGAAGCAATAAACAGTTGGTTGCCAGCCAAGCATGCAATCATTTGATAGGCATGTATCTGAAATCTGAGACTTGACATTTCAAAAACTAAATGTTAAAGAAAGGACAGAGAAAAACAGGTAACACTGAATTAATGATTTTTTTTGTCTGAAATCCTGTGCAGGCTAATTATGGATTACTTGAATCATTCACTTATCAAAAATGAGGGTGTGTGTGAATTTCTGATTCAGAATCTGTTGGTGTTTGCAACAGCAAATGAAACTGAGAGAAACGAAGGAAAGTAAAAACTCTCCTGGCATTATTCCACCTCTTGTGAGATGGCACTTCCACTTTTAAAAGACTCACATTCCTTACTTCTGCAAACGAAGGTGAGAAAGTGTGACAGACACTTAAGAAGTCCTACTTTTATAGATGGCAACAAGATAAATTATCCTGCATTCATTCCCTACTCAGTTGAATAATATAGATAATTTCTCTTTGGTGTTCTTTCCCATAATTAAAAGATTTGGAAAGAAGTTTTCATGAAATGTCGCTTTCTTGCACTTGGTTATAAAATGGCCAAAACTGTGTGCATGGATTTCCTACTTTTCTCCGCACAATCATCTGTAATTAGTTACGGCAGTACTATCATCTCCAAAGTGCCACAATCTCCACAGCTTAAATTAAACCCAAAGGAAAACCATAATGAGAAAATTCCTTGCTTGGGACTTTTTACAGAGCACTGCCATGACTAATGTCATGACTAAGGAGTTCTGACTTTGAGAATTAGGTAATTTCTGTTTTAACTTCAGAAAGGTGAAAAAATCAACCATCCATATTCTCTGGCCAGGAATGTGACAGAGCAAAACTTTCCAAAGGTCATTAGAAACTTCTCTAGCAACAGAATAGCAAAGTTGCAAGGGATCTTGGATGTCATCTAGTCAAGGGGTCGCCAACCTTTTGGACCTCAGGGACCACCAAACTCATAATTTTAAATCCCAGGGACCACTAACCGGTTCTGTGGGTGTGGCCTAATTTGTGGCTTGGTGGTCATGTGACTGGCTGGGCATGGCTTGTTTGCAAATATTATAAATATTTATATAAATATTGAATTTTTTATTTAAAAAAAGCAACTTTTACCCAAAATCATGCAAAGCAGGCAGGCAGATTGAGTTGCTCACAGAATCACAGATTCATTCAGATAGCTATCTATCTGCCATCAGCTGCCTGAGCCTGTCACATAAAATTTGCTTGCCGTGAGTCTGCACTGAATGAACCTTCAGTCCTAAAGGAAGTTCAGCTATGCTTAAAAGGTGAGCCGAAGATCTAAAGACTAGCTAGAAAGCAAGAAATCCAACCATTTCCTGCTTCCTAGCTAATCTAAATCTCCTGGCACAGCAGAACAGCTGATGGTCGGAAAAATAGCAATTTAGCAGGCAAGTTTGCCCAGTAAGAAGTGAATAGGCGGGGAGGGTTCCACAAGCCATGTGGGAGGCGCAGTCTTGTGTTTCTGTGCAGCTTGGATTAATTGCTTTGTAAGGCTGCTCTGGGGTGAAAGTTCTCTGTGGTCCACCAAATTTTTTTTGCAGCCCACTGGTTGGCGACCGCTGATGTAGTCCAACCCCCTGCTCAAGTGGGAGAGTCTGTACCATTTCAGACAAAATGGCTGACCAATCTCTTCTTGAAAATCTCCAGTGATGGGGCACCCACAACTTCTGAAAGCAAGCCGTTCCACTGGTTGTTTGTTTTCACCATTAGTAAAATAAAAATAAAATAAAAAACCCACTGCTCCAAAAGTGCTCCTTTTCCAGGTTCACTTAATTTTTAAGACATTAATATAATGTTTATGCTGTAAACTGCCCAGAGTCACTTCAGATTGAGATGGCAGTGAATAAATTTAATAAATAAGTAAAATAAAACAAATAAGTTATATCGAATATTCTTTCTTCACATCAGGGGTGGGATTCAAATTTTTTAACAACCAGTTCTGTGGGCGTGGCTTAATTGGTGGGTGTGGCTTGGTGGTCATGTGACTGGCTGGGCGTGGCCAACTCAACATCACTCACATTGAGGCACGCATCTCCTCGCCTGCCCTCTCATGACTGTGGGGATGCTGCAACAGTCGTAAGTGTGAAAAATGGTCATAGGTCACTTTTTTCAGTACCATTGTAACTTTGAATGGTCACTCCACACAAGCAAAGTACCAGCAAAGGAGGGGGAAAAAACTCCAGAGAAGTTCCAGAGACAGGAAGTCTAGTCCTGCCAAGAATGTAATAAGGGTTAACGGAGAGGCAGTTTCTGTAAGCAACACCAGAATGTTTCCTTCCTGCCTTCCTTACAGGATTAGGCCAATAATTTCTTCTAACAACCGGTTCTCTGAACTGCTTAGAATGTTAACCAGTTCTAGCGAATAGATGCAAACCTGTAGAATCCAACCCCTGCTCCACATGCATACTTTGTAAAAAGAAAGACAGTGCATATCCTTCTTACAATAGGAACAGCAAAAAAGAAAACAGACAGAAATTGATTAGTTAGAAAACATTACTTCTCTGATAAGGAAAAGAAAGAAAAAAGAAGTAGATAGAGATAAGGCAACAATCTAACTAGGAATTATTTTAAAAAGTGACCATGTTAGCAGCCTTTCTAAACCATAAGCATATCTGACTGAACTCTATCCATTTGCTAGCTTTCAACAGCTCTTCTGCTACCTTAGCATGATGCTTGTGCTAGGTCCTTTTAGTTTTTCCTGAAATAAAGCTGAGAACTGAGAAATATTAAAATAGGGTTGTGAGATTAGTGGATTAATGAATGAAATTGAAAGGGCTTAATTGAAATTTGGGGTGTAATCAATATGATAAGGTCTGTTGATGTCCTGTGGTCTTTATTTCTCAATTGTGACCTCAGCATTTTTTTAAAGTTGCTTCTATCAGCAAATGGAAGATTTTCCTTCAGATTTTTCAGTAATAGTTTTGGTCTACCTTGCCATCTAGAAAGAAATGCAAATCAGCCACATTTTGCTGCCTTCTTGGGGCATAGGAAATATGAGACAGATGCAAAAGAAAGATTTCTCAGCTTGAGAGAAATTGACTGCAGTCTTTTCCAAGCATTCCTTAATTCTGTGTTGACAAATCTGTCAAGTTTTGGTCCTCTTAGTTTCTTTAACTCATTTAACTCATTCCATTTTGGAGGGAAATTGTGTCAAAAAAAAATTCCTGCATCAAAATGTGGTGTGTGTGTGTGTGTGTGCGCTTGCAGGCATTTTTCTAACTGTATCTGATTTTGTATGTATTTTTCTAACACAATTTTTGACAATGACTTTGTCTAATATAATCTGTCTCCTGAGTCTCTTATTTCTTTAATATATTAAGGATGGTTAATTGTCCCCAATCTAGGCATTTTTAATACATTTTAATGGGAAAAGTCCAGTGATTTGAATAAAGAAAGCTTTCTGCAACCAACACAGGAAACATGTCAAAGAAATTTTGTACATGCTCTATAATCAATTTTTTTTCTAATAGAGAAAATTATGATTGAAAATATTTCCTATATATTTTGTAAAGTTGTAATTATCAGTATTTGACTGACTGGCATTTTAAAAAAGACCACATTTAAACTAAAACTCATTCTTCGTGTTTTTGTCAACTGAGTGAAATGAATTATTTACATCAATATTGTCCAGCACTTTGAGAGAAAAGTTAGATGTAGGCCATACCACACCAATGGTAAAAATCTTTAAAATTGGTGGCCTTCCAATATGTTGGATTATGGGTCCTCTAATTCCCAGCCAATAAAGGCTTTGACTGTTCTGCCTGAGAAATATGGGATTTGTGGACCTTGAGAAACAGGTTGGAAAATGCTACTGCATTTAAACTGCAGGCCTACAGAGGCCAAGGAAAAATCAATATATATTCTGCATTTGAAGGCAAAAGGTAACGTTGCCACATTTTTCACGCCTGTAGCACTTTTGCAGTAAATAGATACAATTCTAAAAATTCACCATTAAAACTAATTATAGGTATAAAAACCAATGGAATTTGCTATTTTCTGAAAATTGAATGATTGTTACCCTAAGATTAATCATTCTCCAGGGAATCAAACTGCAAATCAACCATGACAACTACAAACAAAAAACCATGAATTAACATAAATGCTTAGTAGACTGGGGGCGGGGGACTAGACTGGTTATAACATAAAAACGAGTATGTGAAAACTAATTCCAATAAAAGCTTTTCAGACTAGTAGTTTTATATCAATTGGCTAAAATTATGTGAACATTTTAACTAATTATTTTGGGGGGATGGGAGGAAATGCTTCGGCCATTATCAATTTACAACATTTGAAAGATTTGGGTTCCTTTGGGCATTTCGTTGTGGTAAGTTTGGCAACACTGCTGACTTACAAATACAAAGTGGGACAATTTCAGAGCAATAATTGGAGGAATATCTTATTTTCTTCCTGCTCCACTCAACACCTAACGCCTAACCCTAACTCTTTTCTGGGATGGTTAGTTAAATTGTTTGCTTGCTTGTGTTTCAATCCTACCCTAACCACCCCCAAAATGAAAAATATAATTATACTTCCCAAGAACAATCCATTATTTAGAAATGTGCAGGTCTTATATGTTATATTATGTGACAAGAGCAAATTTTCTAACTCTGCTACTGAACATTTAATTTTTAGGAGGACTGGATTTTACTGAAGTCTCCTCAGCTCCTGGGAAGTAAGTCATGAAGATAAACAGTATTCCTTGAAAACAATTGTCAATGCATATTCATATCTATTAAGAAGATTATTATGACTACTTCTTTGTGTGTAGGAATATTTAGCTATGTTTGTTTCCTATCATTGGCCTAAATATGCATAATCTTTTTATAAGTAATTCCAAACATACCTTTAAGCATTCTAAATAATAGGTGTCCTACCCTCCTATCTCATACACAAATATTCTTTTGCTGCTCATTTATTTTATTTTCTCTGATGCCTGAACAGATGTTCCTGTAATCTACATTTAAGCTGAACTTAAGGTAAAGGGCAAAGCATATATTTATTAATTAAGCAATTCAATCTGAAATAAAAAAAAATCCATGCATTTTAATTGTCTGAAAAAATCTAAAATTACTCAACTATGTTATTTATGAATGGTGGCATTCCAAAGTTCCAAATATCTTTTTCCTAGCATCATTTATATGTAAAGAAAAAGTATTTTGGCATGAAAAGCAAATACTCAACAGTCCTGGCCTAATGATTGTTAGAACTGACCATTTCCAGCTCTTCATAAGCCAGTACTATAAATTTGCACCCTACACATTATTGAGAAAGAAATCTTTACCATAATTTGTACATAATCTTATAGCTTTCTAACTTGTGCTTCAGGGTTCAGTCCTTTTCTCTATTGTGCCCAATTCAACCAAAACAAGACAGAACAGCTATTGATTCTAAGGAAAACTGATTCCAGGTGATGACATGTTCTCTGGCTCTTGATGGGCTTTTGCTTCTCCAGAAAGAACAGGCTTTCTGTCTGGGGATCCTGTTAGAATTATGAAAAACAGGAGAGTTTTTGGATAGCTTTGCTGTTTCACCAGCTGCTGTCTTATTGCTTTACTTAGAACAGGGTGCACTGAAGATAGTCCCTCATTTGCTCAGTATCCCTTGATTAAATTACTATAAATTATTCTATATGGGTTATTCTTGAAGACCACCTGGAACATTTAACTATTTCAGTATGCAGCTATATGGGTGTTTAGTGATTGGCCATGTCCAATTATAACTTTGCTGCATTATTAAGTGCAATAGGAGGTCCTGATTATGATATAGCCATACATGACTTGGGTTTCTGTATCTGAAGGAATACCTCTCACAAATGCTTTCTGCCTGTCTTATTGTTACAAATAAGGGCCATCTGCTGAAGATGCCTCTATATTAGAAATTATAGAAAACTGGGGCCTGGTGGCAGGCATTTTCAGTAGCAGCTTGCCTCCTCCAGATAGCTTGTCTCTTGAAATGCCTAGGGACTTACCCTTACGGCTTTCCAGAAGCTAATGAAAACAGGAGTCTTCCAAGAACTCTTGAAGATACTACTTTTATGTTTTAATTTTTAGCTTTGTATTTTAGTCTTTTTTTTTTTTTTCAATTTTTATGATTTATACTCTTATGAAAATCTTGTCTGGTCATAGACTGCAGCTGGTTTAATGCAGTAAGATAAATCTCATAAAAACAGATAAACCCATTTAAAAAGAAACCAAGTATGGCAGATCTAAATCTTTTGGGGATCCTGCCACTCTCAGCATTCCCAATCAACATGCTTGATGTTCAAGGGTTTGTTCTAGGAGCTAAGTTCAGCAATATTTGATGAACTTTTGGTATTTTATCCATGAAGACTGTCAGGGGTCTGTCAATTTTAGAGACATCATTATTATTTCCTCTAGCATCATGTGAATTGACAGGTAATCTTTTGAACATAGAACAGTTCAAATGAAATACATTTTGTGAGAGTATGATATTTCATATTTATGTTAAACAATGAAAAACCTAATTAATTATCATTAACAGCAGATCATATTAATGCTTTGAAAATGAAACAAACCCATTTCAACATGTGATTGATATAAATGAATGAATGAATGAAGTTGCATTGAATTGAATGGATTTTACCTGAAGAAGGAGGAGGATTTGGTCTTCTTCCAGAAACTAGATTCTGGGTTCCTGCAAACTGCTGCTTAGATTCTCTGAAAACATCTTCCTGCTGGGCAAGATTTGCAGATGTTCCCATTGGCTTTTTTCTGCCAACTAAAATTTAATGGAAACCATTTAAAAGGGAGGGGGGATTAGAAACCTTTTCAAAGGCAATTAGAAACAGTTCTTATTTCTATACAAATTTTCCATAGATCAAAAGCTCTACAGTTTTTTAGCATATAACAGATTATGTACATTTCTTTTCTTATGAATTGCATGCAAGAGTTTAATATTCTTGTATTAGAGTAGTTTGCTGCTAGAGTAGTTTTGAGAAATAGCCATGGCATAGCATGGCATAGCATGGGTTGAGAAGTTTGGTCGTGTAAAGCCCTTTGTTGGCAGAATTAGAGAAAATCCCCCTGTGCACACAGTGGTGACAGAGTTATCAACAGAATGCTGATAGAACCTGGTTGTCTTTCCCAATTAAAATGAAGCTTCTGTGCAGCAGAGGAAGAAGATAGTAGTCATGTTCTTTTTATACACAAGCATAGTGGTTTTTCAAAAAAACTGAGAATTATGTTTATAAGGACCCTGCATGATATCAGTCAACCATTCTGGAAAGGGCAGACCATGCATTACTTGGGCAGATGCTTTTATGATGTCTCCTGAGGTCTGACTCAAAATGGTCATGAAGAGAAATTTCCCTAGTGACTGGAAAGAAGATGACATGTCCACAAGAACTTAAAGTGGCCTGTAGAATTGGACAGATCTCAACCTCTGACCACTTCAGCAATTATATCATCAGAGTTACTGGAAATCAGGTGGCATATAAATTTAATTTATTATTATATGCCAAACTATATCCATAGCCATAACTGTGTTGGTTAAGAAAGGGAAAACACTATTTTCACACTGATACAGCTATACAAAGCAAAACAGCTTTGAAATAATGTACACCATCAATTTTGCACCTGACTTTGCTTGTCAACAAAACACAGATACATGTGTTGCCTAAAATATCATGAAAACCAGGGAGAAAACATGAGCTCAATTTGTGGGGTTTCAAATAAATTTGTTCTATATCATCTTTGCTACATACCATAGACTACAAAGAACTGATTATAATAAGATTACAATCATACTTAATAGCTTCTATGCATTTCTGCCAGAATCTTCTGGGGAAGACGTAGGATTTGACAAGACATTTTGCTGGAAATTTGATCTAAAAAATTCCAGTCCTGTAATTTTGTAATCACAACATAGTGAACAAATTTTATCAATCTGGTAGAAATAAATATTTATTAGGTTTGAAGGGCTATACAATTTGTATGTATGTTAAAATGTAGCAGCAGATTCATAAGTCATGTAGTAGAGATAATCAATGTGTATCATATCATTGTTAATAATTGGGATTTTCATTTATGTCATTATCTTAAACATACATTTACCAGTAGTTGTTGTATTTTAAAAAAGCAATTGCAAGCTATGTATTTTTAAAGCAAATAATTATTTTAACATATACATACATTTGACAACTTGTGGGTAAAACAAAACGTTGCTTTCTCCAGTATCAACAAATGGCTTGGTCTGACCATTAGGCAGAAGGCCAACATATATTCCTCTGTTCCGTAACGATTCAAGACTTACAGATCCAGTTTCTAAATTTTTTTGCACTTTAAAATGACAGTCCACATCTCCTATGCCCTAAAAAAATGCAGTAAATCAACATAAATAGGAGTAGAATAATTATTCTTAGGTATAATTTTATGCCTCACCATCTATTGGCTTTTTTTTGTCTCAGAAACTTAATATAGTTGGACCTAGTTAGGATGTGGATGGGACATTTTTAAATATTGGATTTTAAAAAAAATCTTGATAAAGACATTGGTAATCAACTTTTCTTGCCAAAACATGGACATGATCACAATGTTTTAGGAGTCATGTGTGATTCACAGGACACAGAATGTAGCGTCTCTTCCATCATGCTACTGATCCCTGGCAGTTGCCTAAACAAACTGGACAAGGCCAGATTTTGCTAAATCTGGGTTTGTCCTGCCAGTTCAGTGTATTTCCCCACATAATATATCATATAGCAATTTTTCTGTGATATGAGATCATTTAAATTTATTTGTGTTTGTGTTTATTTAACTAAACTGTTCAAATGATCTCTTTCTTTCAACCACATTTACCAGGAGTATCTAGTTATCTGGCCATATTACTTTTTCATTATTTATCTTCAATTGGGTATCTAAGTGGCAAATGGTCAGATTCTATTCTATTTGCAAGGCTACCAGAGCAGAATCCTTTCTTTGTATACCTTCTGAAATGTTATCCTGTCAAAGTAAAGGTTAAAATGAATGCATTTCAAGAATTGATATGATGGAATTCCAAGTTATTCATCAATATATTGTAGAAGCAGACTGAAATCTTCCTCACTATTGGGATGTATTATATTTCTGTTTAATTTATGGAAGCACAGAATTGGAAAGGACCATTTAGATCAGGGGTCTCCAACCTTGGCAATTTTAAGACTTGTGGACTTCAACTCCCAGAATTCCTCAGCCAGCTTTTCTGGCCGAGGAACTCTGGGAGTTGAAGTCCACAAGTCTTAAAGTTGCCAAGGTTGGAGACCCCTGATTTAGATAATCTATCCCTTGTTCAGTGCAGTAATCCAAATTAAAGTATGTCTGACTATGGGCTACCTGAATACATTCAGTGCTGGTAACTGCTTTCATTCTTATTTACCCCTACTTTTTTGTCCCTTTGTCTTGACTCCTGGTGACATTCTGGACAAATCCCTGAAATTTCTCTGATAACATCTTCAGAAGCAGTTTATCAGTGTCTTTTCCCCAGGGCTGAGAGAGTAACTGGCCCAAAGTCACCCAACTGGCTTTGTGTTCAAGATAGAATTAGAACTCCTTGCCTCCTGTTTCTAGGCCTTGAACCACTATCAAATTGGCTTTCATAGTATTTATCACATGTACTTATGACAGCAGGGCATATTTCTAAACATCCAGGCATAAATTACTATTGCATATGAACATACTATCCAGGTATCTTATTTTTTCTTTTTTAAGAATTGCATACATTATCTCTTTAATGGAAAAAGGTGGGGCAAGAAGTGTGCCTAGCAGCCTTAGGAAAAAGCAACTACGAGAATGACTGGTTCTCCAAGCATACAGTTGGTGAATTGATGGAGAAGATATTCTGGGTAACTGCAACCCAACTGGTGAAGTCTCAGAGGAAGAAGGCCGCATAACAGAAAATAAATGGATTAGGAAAGCAGACAATAAACTTACTATAAGAACATTCAGGAAAACCTAACTGAGGATTGGCAGGATCTTGTTGGGCAGAAAGGTCAAAAGAATATAAAAATACTGAAGCTCTGCCCTTTTATACATGCATTAACATGGTGTTGTGGTTCGTCAGCAGCAAGTGGGGACAGCAGAGGTCTTTGATAGTGAGGACTCGGACAAGGGGCCTGCCTGTGATGCAGGGATGGGGCCAGGATTATCCAAGAGTGGGGTGCTGCCTTCAGAGCTTGTGGAGTCTGGCAGCATTGATGCAGAGGAACCCGGAGAGCCTATGCCCAGTGAGCATGTGCGCAGGGATGCTCAAAGGAAAGAGCAGCTGAAGCAGCAAGGGTGACTCGGGAGTAAGGCTGGAAGGTGATGGCCCCTCCCATAAGAGATCAAAACCAGCCCTCGGGGATGTGTTCTTTGCAGGAAGCAAAGAAGTTCTTTAGACTCATAGTCTTTGTTGAAGCCCTGCTTACTCCAGTTTGTTTTTGAAACTTCTGTTGCTGGATATTTAATCAGTAATTAGTCTTCTGTTCTTGGCAGCCTTTTGCAACCTTGAAAGGTCTTGCTTTTGATATTGGACAATTAGGTTTACATGTCTCTTGGCTGGGAATGCACTGAATTCCCAGCGCTGCATTTAAAAAGGTTTGCTTTTATACACAATTTGTGTCTATTTAATTTGAACAAGGCTTGAGTCAGAACACATAGACCAAAGTAATGTGGTTTCTACTGCGATCACGTAACCACTGTCACATTTCTTTTACTTTCAATAGGGATAATGATATGCTAGGAATAATAGCTTACTGTGGATTCTGCTCTCAGTGCGTTTTTCACTGTAATGATGGAAGCCATTTACTTACATATCATTTTTTCTCAAAATATGAATCATATTGCATGAATTAAGGTATTTTGTGTTCAAAGTTTTGCAACGTAAATTCAGTGCCAGAAAAATAAACCCGGATGGCTGGTGCTTCATTTAATGTCTTTATAAACATATTAAGTAAATTTTACAATACCAGTTGTAGATTTCTCCAACATGGAGCAAACTCAAACAGAAGTAGACATGCAGAGCAGAAACTCAGGAGTTCAGAAACAGACATCAGTTTCACTTTAGTTCAGCAGTTAGTTTCTCTTTCACTTTAGAGCTGAGCACAGAACAGAGATAAACCGTGCCCAGATTCTCTCTTTCAGCCCTCAATTCAGCTCTCATTGACTGACCTTGTTACTAAGCTCTATTCCAGTTTATGAATATACTCTGACATTTTGATACATATGATTTTTCAATGTAATGATGGAAACCATTTACTTATATATCAGATTTTCTCAAAGTATGAATCATATTGCATAAAGTAAAAGAATTCTGATACATACTGCAGTTTAGAAAGCCTTTTTTCCTTCCTTCCTTCTTTCCTTCCTTCATTCCTTTCTGCCTCCCTCCCTCCATTACTTCCCAGGAACTGTGATAATACTGAGTTTCCTAATCTAACAACCATTTGTTAGAACAATAAGAAGTATATGACCTTTAAATCATCATCTATATGTTCTTCCAATGTTTGTGTTTTATAAATGTGTTAAAGCCTTTATTCAAAAAGATATTGTATGTATTGGTGGCAAGATTTTTCATATATATATATATTGTATAAAAATACAAAAAACCTATTCAATATTAATAATATCTGATTTTTCAACAATTGAATATTAAAAGAATCAAAGAGCAAATACTTTTCAAATATATCTGTCTATAGCTGGGAGGGCAAACCTATGGCACGCGTGCCAGAAGTGGCATGCAGACCCACCTCTCCGGGCACACCAGCCATCCATTTCTCTTCTGGGTTCTTCGCGCATGCAAGAGCACTGGAAACTGGAAGAACAGCTCGCTCACACATGTGCACCAGAAATCGGAAAAACAGATGGTGTCACGCATGCACACACCGGAAACCAGAAGCTCAGCTTCCAGGCTCTTCCAGTTTCCAGTACTCCCCCGTGCATGTGTGCTCCCATTTTGGCACTCGGTGCCAAAAAGTTTGCCAACACTGGTCTATAGCTTATGTAAATCCCTGTGTAACCGAGAACACAAGACTGGTTTAAAGTTAATCTCACCAGATTCTATCATGGATGACTGATCAATTTTAACTGAGGAAGAGACATTACATTGTAAAACCTAAATGATGTTTCCTCAAATTTAATATGTTTAAACACTAGAAAATAGAGAATGGGCTTTAGATACAGTTCCTATACATTGATACTACTTTTAATGTAGGAAGTTTCCAATTTACTTTCCATAAAAATTCATTAAATAATTAGATGACTTGCAGCTATTATTCTACTTTTGTTCTTAAAACAACTTTTATTAGATGACTAAAGTGCTGCCATTTTATTAATAACATACCTGAACATTATAATCTAGTGATACCATCATTACTACAAAATTTCTCACACCTGTTAGTGACAATGTTTTGGCTGTCTTCTAATTAACAAGATAATTTTAGTGAACCTAAGACCAGATTTGAATTTTTTATACAGAAACCCAGTGTTATTTTTTTTTTCTGGGAGAAACTCCCACACATTATAAAATAATGTATTGGTTATAGTCTCTGTATCTGAAGTGATTTATATTATTCTTATAAAGTCTTCTTTAAGTCAAGCTTAATTCCTGATTATTTCATAAAAACATCTATGGTGCTTTATTTTTCTAGTTTCATAGTTTAGTCTTCAGTTTTGATTATCTCCTATCCAGGTACTGTTTTAGTTTCTGAACCTAGATCAGTTGCATCCTGCTTTGATCTATTTGATAAGAACCAGATTTAAAATGTACCTCTTTATTCAATAAATCCATCTATGCACTTGCTGAGAAAATGCAGACTTCTTACCGTTCCATTACACTGACCATCCTTGATCCTCAGATACATTCTTGGGTGCTTTGCATTTTCAAACATACAAATCCCAGAGCTGATTTTATGAACTTTCCAGTAAGAGTCATCAGCCTGATTTCCAGCTCCGCTGCAACTCCCATCAGATCTCAGGCAGAGAAACTGGCAGTAGCTTGTAGCGAGCAAAATTATGGCACTGTTGTGGAATATACCCTAGAAATCAGCAAGCAGAACTATCTTCAAATAATATCAGGTTTCAGATTTCCCATTCTTCATCTTTTTACCTTCAATCTAATCCCCTTTCCCCCCAGCTGGCATTTCCCAACTAGTATGGTTCTAAGGAATGGATAGCATATTTTGTTTTTAGCTTGTGATTTGTTCAGTAAGCCATGATTTAAACCAACTATGACTAAGCAATCTATTACATCAAGTCTGGTCACCTTTAGGTGCAGTAATTTAATCTCATTTGATACAAGAATACAACAAACTAAAGAAACTGTTAGCAATAGTGATTTTGCAAAGTTATTGCAGTCTTTGGCTCCATCTAGTGGGTAGAAATTGCTTGTCTTTTGAAAGCTGTTCATTCACTTTCTGCATTGGCTTATGTATCACATTCCATTTTTCCCCTTTTTGCTTACCTTTACATGGACCACAAACTCCTTGGTGAGCCCTGCATAGCCTGTGTTATCATCAGCTACCATGCCTTGGAAATTGAAAGAAATCACTTGGCCTGGATTCTGGGACGATTCCAGAATAGCGCAATGATTGGGCTGAACATGAACTTGCAGTTCACAGTGGTTATCCGCATAGTTCTAATAAAGAGCAAAATGGGATTAGTCCACACTCATAGACATTTTGAAAAGGGATAGATCATGGCATTACAGTTTTGCATAACCGTACAGCACAAAACTCTCCTCTCCTTTAGCAGTATAGATTTCTTTCTGTTGTGTTTAAGAAGATGAAACATATTATAAGATCTAAACCAGGAAATAGGATTAGTGGATTAGTTCTTCAGCATTTACTGGCATTACTGCAATTCTATGGGTGATGCTTCTGAATAAAAAGGATATCATTAACTAAATTATAACTTCAGCTACTAGCATTAATAGTACAATAATTCAGCATAAAGTGCATCGGTCTGGGCTGCTAGTAAAACCTCCCAGACTTTCCTTCAACAATGGCACATAGCTTTTCCCTTTCAGTATCATCATCATGTATTGATCAGTTCCTGATTGTGGCAATTTTTACTGTATCAAACAAATGTGTCATAAGATTATGGCAAGTCTGTGAAAGCATTAATGCACAGCTACAATGGAAGTTTTGATGGTGATTTTCCACCTCCCCTACCCTCCACCCCCAAAAAGAGAGAGTTGATCAGTAAATGGTGTGATAGCAAAACCAAAGAATGTCATGTAAATATAGAAAGAAAAGTCTTGATGGAGCTAACTGCATACTTTTCGTCAATATTTGGTATGACTTCTTTCACAGTTCTTATCAACTTTCTTAAGCACAAACCCAATGGGAAAAAAGATAGGAGTCATGTTGAAAAGCTTACCATCCCTGTGACTGAACCATGAGCAAGCGTGAGTGCCAGCTGTGGGTTTGGATGACTTCTAAGAACACAGAGTCTTCCTTTCTTTGCTGTCACTTCGAAAAGACCTAATTCATTCAGGACAACAACAAAACAGAACCTAATTAGATGTTCCTAATAATGTTATATTGAGTTGCTTGAATCCCCCAAAATTGCATGAAATTTCCTGCTGTGAAAACATGTGGCATTTCTTTTCCCTTCCTGTTGATATTTATTTATTTAATTCAGTTTTCTGTATTTGTCCATCTCAGCCAACTGACCATGGGCAGATTACAGCTCTAAAACTAAAAAAAAGAAGCTAAGACAATTCAAAACAATTTAAACAGTTAAAGCATCAAAACATCAAAACAAAACTATACAGCAGCCAAGGTGATTTACCAACTAATATTTATTTATTTACAGGTAGTCCTCGACTTTCAACAGTTGGTTTAGTGATCATGCAAAGTTACAACAGCACCGAAAAATGTGACTTAGGACCATTTTCCATAGTTGTAACCTTTGCAACAGCCCCAAGATCCTGTGATCAAAATTCAGATACTGGGCAACTGATTCATTTTTATGACCGTTGCTATGTCCCAAGGTCATGGGATCACCTTTTGTGAGCTTCTGACAAGCAAAATCAATGCAGAAGACTTATCAACTACAGTGATTCACTTAACAACTGTGGCAAGAAAAGTCGTAAAATGGAGCAAAGTTCACTTAACAAATGTTTCATTTAACCACAGAAATTTTGGGCTTAGTTGTGGTCATAAGTTGAGGGTTACCTGTATTAGTATTTATAAATAAATCAGGTATAAAATATAAGGCCAATAAGTCTGTGAATTTGAGTTTATTTTAAAGTTGTCCTGAAATAACCATTGGTTTTTTTTTTCATTTTGATCTTGCAGCAGTCATGGGGAATTATCCATGGAATGATATATGGGAAGAACATTAACTTTCCTTTCCATGGCAGGGTGACATCTATGGATATATCAACTTGAACCTCAACTCTGTAAGAAAATGTCTAATTTTCATACATTCACAGTAGCCATGGATTGGCAGGTGGGATGATTTGAGCTTAATAGAAAAGTCATTGTGGATTTAATTACCCCGTTCACATCACAGAGGATCAATGCAGCCTTCACTTAAGAGAAAAAATATTTTAAAATGTGTCATCTTGCAATGTTTATTACTAATTTGTAGTGATGCAATCTTGGGGTATACTGGAGCTTGAAAAATGCTTCATAAAAGCTAGGAGCAGTTTATGGAGGATGGAAGTCTCACTTCAGATACACAGTAGATGAAAGTAATGATATGGAGCTGTTCATTCAAATCCAATAAATGTCCATTTACTAGAAACAAGCATCAAGATTCTTTGCTTTGCTACTCTGTAGGGCATGATAATAATAATTCTGCCTTAAGATTATTTCCATCCTGTGTATCCTTAAAGAATTCTCATTCTATCACTAAATAGATAATATTTACCATTCTTGTCTTTTTTGTCACCAATGGCATCCACCACTCCATCTTGTCTAAGACGTATAAAACCATGGGTCATCTTGTTGTAAAACTGAAGTATATTGCCTTTCTGAAATTTCCATTTCTCAGCTGCCCACTAGAGGTATTGTAAAACAAAGTAAAATAACTTGTCATCCCATAAAAGACATTATATGAATCTTCCTGAATTTTTTTCTTCTTCTTTTCAATCATGTCTGAATCTATGAGTAATCCCTTGCATTACTGGGGTGGAGTCAGGGCAACTGAATGGAGTTGAGCATTTATTGGCCAGATACCCTGCTTGACACCTACACAGAGTTCAAAGAAGACTCATTGCACCCAGAGAGCAAACATCTATCACTACCTGGGATCGAACTCGCAGTCTTCTGATTGTGAGGTGAGAGCTCCATGTCTAGGCCACCGTGCTCATCTGAATCTGTGAGTGCCTGGACAATTTCCTGCAATTTTTCAGAATAGCTTGCCTTGCCTCTTTCCTAGGGCTGAGACAAAGTCGCTAGCTCATGGTCACTCAAATGACTTTGTGTCCAAGACAGAACGAGAACTTTCAGTTTTCTGTTTTACAGAGTGATGTCTTAACCACTGCACCAAACTGGCTCTCTTTCTCTTATGTTAGGTTTGTGCACTTCCAGATGCCAATGGCTTCATTACCCAAATTCTAATAGGACTTTTCATAATAGCCTGAAAATTTCTCACTATTTCTACCCTCACAATATTCATATTCTTCGCAGCAATAGCAATAGCACTTAGACTCATATACCACTTCCCGGTTCTTTTACAGGCCTCTTTAAGTGTTTTACAGAGTCAGCCTATTGCCCCAACAATCTAGGTCCTCATTTTACCCACCTTGGAAGGATGGAAGGCTGAGTCAACCTTGAGCCTGGTATGTTTTGAACTGCCAAATTGCAGGAAGCCGGCAGTCAGCAGAAGTAGCCTGCAGTAATGCGTTCTAACCACTGTGCCACTGTGGCTCAGAGAGGAGTCTAAAGAGTATTTTCCAGACAGTGTCTCACCTTCCATCCCATTCTTGATCTCACTGCATTTATTTTTATCAAAGCAATTTAATGATCAAAAGCACAGAGAAATGACCACTGAGTGGCATGATGTTCTTATCTTCTCAGGAAGGAGATAGCCATTCAGTTTAAAATGAACATATAAAGCGTGGAAGAGAGGGAAGAAGAGAGATTACTGTAGATTTGAAATGAATTTATTTACTTTCAACTTTTTAAAAAAAATAATTTTACCATGTCCTTTCTCCTGATTTCTAGTTCTTGTTCTGTGGAAAAGCAAATATCGATACAAGTAAAATATAAGAAAAGGTAAATCACTCCATTAGAATCAAAATTGCCTGCCAATGCATTAAGGTTCAATAAAATTCTAATGAAATTCATAAATCATATAGTATAAAAGTTGTCTTCCATGAAGAGAGACTAACTCCATTAACTGGTGGGCATGATGACCATAGGAGCTCTCATCATTTATGAAAATGCTTTGAATGGTTTCCAGCAATACAAGACTCTGCAACAGAGAACAGCCATAACGTTGCTATATTAAAAGGTCTCATTTCCCCCAAAGACTTAAATCCCAGGCTCTTAACTTACCTTTCTCTCATTGAAACTTAAGGGAGGTTTCTAAACAACAAAATAAGGCTAAGTTGCTGCTTGTTACAATTCTCCCTTTCTTGTCTCTTTGTGAACTTGGTTGTTTGCTACTTCAGTTCTGCCTTTACTTAGTCTAGGATTGCAAGCCTAGGGAGACTTATTTAGACATGGAATTAGATTTAAATTTAGAATTATTCAGCTTCTGAGCTCTTTGCTAATCCTTGTGTCTCAAAGAAATATCCAGTAATATTATCCTTATCATACAATATACTAGATTTTAGGAAACCCAGAGTATATTATCTAGATGCTACGAGAAATCTAATCTAATGTAATAATCTAATCTGATCTAATAAATTTTTTCAGGAATATCCTTCCCCAAGGACTTTGGCTTATACTTACTCCTTGCAATGGTGTAATTATCAATGACATTAAGTTCTCTGACAATTTTGCCATCATCTTCTCCTTGATCTAGCCATCTTTTGGGGAGAAATATATTATATAATAAGAATATATCTTGGCATGCTACTATTTAAACCAAAAATATTAATATCACATTAATTAAAAACTTTAGATGTATGAAATCAGGGTTGCACTTAGGGCCACTTCTGGATTATACAGAAAAAAACATGGCTACCTGATTGGATAAAGATCAGTTCAGAGATGCTGAAAATTTTGAGCGGAAAATCCATTAAACTGATGCATATCTCAGAATGAAGAACTGAAGATATACAAGCATGCATACAGAGGCACAAACAAATCATTTTCTATATGAAAAAAGATATATTTAAGACTGTATAGAAACTTTCTTGCAGTCATTGATGTTTTTTAGTGTGGGAAAAGGGGAGGATAGTCTATTTTAGAAATTTTTTCATACTTATTTTTTCATACTTATTATGATTATATACACTTTAAATCATATATACATATATAATGTATGCATACATAAAAATAAAACAGTCACAAATTGATGTGGCTGAGTTGCATGATCTAAAATTAGATAAAGTACATTAAATGTGATATAATTTGGAAACATTCTTCTTTGAATAGCCATCATATAATTCATTTAAAGCCAAAAGTAACAAAAATTGTTTTAACAGGACAACAGCAAGGTTTTGCAACCACGGGCACATGAAACATGAAGTATAATTAAGGCCAAGTATAATTAAAATATAGAATTTCCAATACACAACAGATTTTGTGTGTGTGTGCACATGAAAATAGTTAGAAGTAAACTGCCCCTGATTTTGCTACTTGAAAACAAATCAGGAGTCATTTCTATTTCAGACATAATATAAAGCTTGAAACTGTACAGTATATCACTAGGACTAGGTATATGTTTATCTCAGGTATCAGAGCCAGTTTACATTTCTATACCAGTTGTTCAAAAAACATGAATTCATGTTTTCAGTTTGTGGTCTTCCCTTAGGGCTGATGTATCTGGGCTGTAAAATTCCACATGACCATTGAATGCAGAAAAGAGAAAATCTAAGTATGGCTGTCATCTAATGATCATCAGGATGTTTATAGTCTAGCTGTTGTCTTACAAATAACTGCTAAAACAGAGCATTTAGGGCTTGACACAGAAGTGCTCATATGTTCAGCTCTCAATGAAGTCAAATTTCCATTAACAGAAATATCTTTCTAGCAAAGGACAATCAACCAGCCAAGCTCTGTTTTCAGAGACTGTGTGATAACAAGGGGTACTATTGGCCCACCAAGAGAGGGCAATGCGGTACATCAGATCTCAGGTCTTATTTTAGAAACCTGCTGTCACAATTGAGTATTTATGTAATATGTGTATCATGTAGAGTTTTACCATTCTGCAATGCAGTACTGGTTTGCATATCTCTGTGAATGCACACCTGTATTTTAGATGCATATTGATATATATTTGCAATTTTGTATTCAAACCCCGGAATGCATGAAACTAAGTAAGAGATATTCTATTGTGCCTGAAGCTTAGGACACATTGTAAACATGAAAAATATCTGAAGTTCATTCAATAGTGTTTTAAGGAAGAATTGAAATTGAGAATGCCACATGGAATTTAATTTGAGCTGAAGATCCCACCCCCTCCCCCCATTATCAATGAGCTGTTTGAAAGTTCAATTTGACAATTACTGCAGGGTTGATAGACTGGTGAAAATAGTTTTTAACGAATCTGAGGCTGAAGGAACTTTGTTCCTTTGGGTTTGTCTGCTCCTCATCTTTCCCAAACATCAAAGAATTGGAAAAGTCAGCTCCTGGGCAGCTAGTCCTGAAAAGCTTCGTCAGCCAGGAAGACTTTCAATTGTCAGATCCTTAGTGCTTTGCTTTTATCTTAGTTGTCCCAATCAGATATAATGTCAACATTATGAAATGGATAATTTTTAAAAATAATAAACTGAACAAACCTGTAACATAGGAAGATATAATCTGAATTTGTGATAGGATCCTGGACGACAATTTTCTCCAAAAACCAACCATTTCCTAGGTGGGAATATAAACATTCCATTCTTAATAGTGAAATCAAGACAAGTATGTGTTAAGAGCAGCACACAAACATCAGTCCTTTTCGTATTACATTTAAATAATTAATACCAGTGGTGGGAATCAAAATCTTTTACTACTGGTTCTGTGGGTGTGGCTTGGCGTGGCAGGTTAGAATACTGCAAAATCTTCATTCCCACCCCACTCCAGGGGGAAGGTTACTGCAAAATACCCATTCTCTTTCCACTCCTGGGGGAACATTATTGCAAAATTCCATTCCTTCCCTACCCCATTAACCTGCTTTCCAGCTCCGTTCTCCTGTGGAGGGCAACAAAAGAAGATCCGGCCGATCAGTTGGGACTCAGGAGGCCGAGAATAGATGGGAGCAGGGCCATTCAGAGGTGGTATTTGCTGGTTCTCCGAACTACTCAAAATTTCTGCTACCAGTTCTCCGTAACTGGTCAGAACCTGCTGAATACCACCTCTAATGCATACAGTGTACAATATCTGCTTGTTTATTTGCTTATTGTAATTTTTATCTCTAATTCAAGACACCGGTGCCACCAAAACAATTTGCAATATAAAGCACATACCTGTTTAGTACGATAAATGGAAATTGAGCCATACAAATGTATATTTTTTTTAAGGGAAAGTTCTAGACTCTTGTATATCAAGGATATATACTGTAGCTTATAGTTGTGATTGGTTTATTAGCAAAATCAAGATAGCCTGACAAGTAGAAATCTGGGCCTTAGAATCACAGGTTATGTAATATCTCCTGCTAAGATAGTCCAGATGCTCAAAAAAGATAGTCCAGATGCTCAAAAAAGTGTAGAATATTAAAGGTCATTTTCTAGTTATAAAAGATCAGAGCAATTTCATGCCCATTTTTCTTGAAGGAGGGTCAGAAACAAATAGGTTTTGCTGCAAAATTGTAAATATTAACTTACATGATCCTAGAATGCTTGAGACCTAATACTACCTCTAATTATCTCCAGAAATATATCAGCCCACATTTTAACATCATGTGAAGCATTGAAAAGCATGCTCAGGCATTTGGCTATGTGAACCACACTATCTGTCCCACTATCTGTTCCTCTTACCATCCATTTTTCTGAAGGAACATACAGCTTTCTAAGTACTGTAGTTATGTTAATTATCTAAGGTGCAATTTTACCCTTCCTTTGCTTCATGCTTATAGTATTGAATGCACAGTATTCTGCTGACTACAATTGAATACCTACATTTTACTTTTGAAAAGCAGTTTATTATTCTTATACAAGTATAATGTGTAAAATAAAATAAATAATAAACAAATAATTTCTAATACTTAAGAATGAAATTTAAGAATGGAATAGTTTGAACAAGCTTTATCCAAAACTGAAATTATTTACCAATAAAATAACAATACAATTATTGAAAAGACTTCCTATATGAAGTCTACAATGTGCAAAATGTGCACATAATATGTAAAAGTTAAACTATCACAGGTATCAGAAGCAGTGCTGGGGAAGGATGCCCAGATCTCCCATAATAATTTGCTTCCCATAAATGGATGCTGCTTTTTCTTCAAAAATCTTTATTCCTAAACACCCAATAGGTCTATGAAAAAACAATTTCATATTCTAATCTATGTCATTGAAGTATATAAATATTTTAAAATATCTGACCTGAGCCAAGTCCATTGTGTCCTATAACAATTTTATATAAATGTCCAAGGTGCACAGCTTCAAGCGAGAATGTATCAGTCTGCAATCAAGCAAGTAACACACATTTAATTTTAAGAATTTGTATTTTGTCTTCTGTCATTTTCTGTCAAGTAACCCACATGTGTAAATTGAAACATAAACCCTAAACAAGTACTATATTAAAAGAGCAATGGGGAAAATACTTTTAACCAATTACTGTTAAATGCACAATCAATAACACATGTTACTCCGATTAATTGAATTAAACTATGGTAAATCATTTTTAAAGCCACAAACATTTAATTTTCTTTAAATTTAGTTTCTACAAGGTTATATTGCCTCAGGCTAACTAAAGGAGTGAAGATAGCATGGTCACAAAATTGCTACATTAAAGCATAATTGACTTAGCAGTGCTGGAAGTACTTATTTTTCATGCTAAAAATTTAAGGTGCAATGTCCTCTTTCCCCCCACAAATAACTGTTCTGTACATTTGCTGTTAAGTTGTATAAGTAAATAGATGTTTAGCACTTTTATGTTGGAAAATACCAAAGGGAGTCATATGTCTTCGACTAAAAGACAAGGAAGAGGACATAATCATATTTAATCCACCTTTCTTCCTAAAATATATAGGAGTATGGTCATGTATAATTCTATGAAGTTATTTTTAATAAATTTTGTTTGTGATAAAGATCTATACAAATTAATAGTTCTTGCTGAATTGTGAAAAGTGTTATATTTACATAAACTCATTTTATTTATTTTGCACATTTATAATGGTGCTCAACTCAAACCATGAGACTTTGGGCAGTGTATAAGAGAACACTGACAAAAAGGTAACCTATATTATTCAGATAACCCAATATATAAAATGGGAAGCCAAATGGAAAAATTAGAAAGCAAAATAGGATTCAATTCAATTGGATCTAAATGTCTAGAGAAAAAAGACAAAAAATACCTTTTGGGCAAAATGGCTGAACCCAGGGGTGGTATTCAGCAGGTTCTGCCAGTTCTGGAGAACCAGTAGTGGAAAAATTTGAGTAGTTCAGAGAACTGGCAAATACTACCTCTGACTGGAGATTTTACAGTATCCTTCCCCTGCCATGTCCACCAAGCCATGCCCACAGAACCAGTAGTAAAAAAAAAAAAATCGAATCCCACCACTGGCTGAGCAGTTAAAAGACGCTTAAGCTTGTCAGCTAGAGAACTGACAACCCAGATTGAAGACCTGGGTTCCATGCAATGGGATGAGCTCCCGGTACTTGCCCAGCTCCTGTCCACCTAGCAGTTCGAAAGCATGCAAATGCAAGTAGATAAATAGGTACCATTTCATTGGGAAGGTAACAGCATTCCATGAGCCATGCTGGCCACATGAGCATGGAAATGTCTTAGGACAATACTGGTTCCCTTGGCCAAGAAACAGAAATGAGCACTGTGCCCTAGAGTTGGATGTGACTGACAGGAAAACCTTTACCATTTTACCTACATTTCAGGTAAAAAAAAGGACTTTCCTATATAGTATACCCATTTGGCAGTTTGTTCTATGGGAAGAGGGATAATTCACTCACTTGTCCTTTCATGTGTTTTTGAGACTTCATTGATCTATGCAGCTGTCGGCATCCTGTGTCACCTTTTTCTCCATTGATTGCTATGTAAACATCAGCTTCTGTCCCAGCATTCCAGAGATCACCAGTTATTACATGCACCTTGTACATTGCCACTGAAAATAAAAAAGTACAGCAATTTACTAACATTATGCTCTGTGTATAATTATTTTATATTGCTGTCTCAACATGTATCAATATCTTATTTATTCACTATATCTAGCTGACTATTTAAAGTACATGATTCTGGGTTGCTCACAATTAAAAAAAATTAAAACATGCATAAATTAAAATAAAATATGTAGTGGTTAGAGAACCATAACAATTCCTCAACATACCCAAGAGATCAGTTCCATTCCATATCTGCAGCCCTAGGCTTTCAAAGGGTCTTCAAAGGGTCTTCAAAGAAACAGGTCTTCAAAGACTTATAAAAGGTGCACTGATTATGAAATGTACAGAATGCCAAATGTGACGTATCCATTTTATTTGTTACTCCTTTCCTAACACTCCTAAACCTGGAACAAATATTTTTATCTGTAGGAACCTAGTTGTAGGAATCTATTCTATTCTAGTCTGTTCTAGATGGTGTTGCATGCTGCTTGAAAACTTGTAGATAGTCTATGCATATAGAGGTCTCAATGTCTAGACATTGGTTGATATGCCTGGCATCACCATGGAATTTCAATGTTTAGCAGTATATTAATTGTGGCACATTGCATTATTGCCTTTGAAAATTAATTCAGAAGCTTTAATAACTGCAAAATTTATTATATT